CACCTGTATTTCAGCTACTTGGAAGGCTGAGGCAGAAGGATCACCAGAGCCCAGCAGGTCGAGGCTGCAGTGGCCAGGAGCGGCCACTGCACTCCAGTCTGGGCGACAATGAGACTCCAACTCAAAAAAAAAAGAATAAGAGAGAGAATGAGGCATCACTATTTAAACAGACAATGGCTGGGAATTTTCCAGAAATAGGAAATATCAAATCACAAATTCTAGAAGGAGTGCAAATTCCAAGTAGGAGATGAAAATAAATCCATACCTGTATACCTTTATTGTGAACCTGCACTACAGACTTCAAAGGCAAGGATAAAATCTTAAAAGTGGCCTAAGAAAATAGATTATTATCAAAGAAGCAGAAATTATATTTTAAGATGAAATAAAATGCTTATAGAATTAGTCATTGTTTTATTATTTGACACCTTACCCAAATTTTCAACCTTCTTTGGATACTGTGCCATGTGAGGTTTTCTTCATAAACTGGGGTGCAGGATTTAAAGGGCTGCTAAGCAAAAGAGGTAGATTCAATTTATTCTATATAGCTCCAAGGGATTGGACCAAATCCCACTGTATAGAAGGTTTAAAAAGGTATGTCTTTACCTAATTTAAGGAAGAGATATCTAATAATTTGAGTTGCTAAAGCCTGGGATACATTACTTTCTGTAATAATTGTGTTCTCTTCCACAAAAGGATATGATTAAAAGAATGATGTATTCATTCAGTTGTCAAATATTTACTAAATACCTTCTATATACCAGGCATAGTTATAGATACTGGGGATACACCAGTGACAAACAAAACAAAAAGACAAGAATCCCTTCTACACAGCTCTTATATCTTAGTCCAAGGAAACAGACAATAAGCATCATAAGTAAATTATGCACTATGTTGGAAGATGATAAATGCTAAGTGGGAAAAATAGAGTAAGGTTAAAATGATCAGGAGTGCTAGAGGAGAATGTGCAATTTAAAATGTGATTATCAGAGTAGATATCATTGAGCAATATTATCTTGCCAAAGACCTTAAGGAGGAAAAAGAGTGAGCTATGAAGATCTAAGCAGCTAAAACAAACAAATTAACAAATTGGCAGGAGTCACTTGCAACTCTATAATGTAATCCTATCATGTCATGCATCACATAATGGCAGAGATATGTCCTGAGAAATGTGGTGCTACATAATGTCTTATTTGTGCCAATATCATAGAGTATACCCACACAAACCTAGATGGTCTAGCCTACTATGCATCTAGGCTATGTGGTATAGCCTATTCCTCCTAGGCTACAAACTTATGCAGTATGTTTCTGTGCTGAATACTGTTGACAACTATAACATAATAGTAAGTACTTATATATCTAAACATAGAAAAGGTATGGTAAAAATATATCATAATCTTGTGGGATCACTGTCATACATGCAGTCTGTCATTGACTGAAATGTCATTAAGCATTGTATGACTATATTTTAAAATAAGTTTGGCCAGGCTCGGTGGCTCAGCCTGTAATCCCGTGCTTTGGGAGGCTGAGGTGAGTGGATTGCCTGAGCCCACAGGTTCGAGACCCGCATGGGCAATTTGACAAGACCTCATCTCTACAATAAATCAAAAATCAGCCGGGCGTGGTAGCACATGCCTGTAATTCCGGCTACTAGGAAGGCTGAGGCAGAAGGATTACCGGAGCCCAGCAGGTTGAGGCTGCAGTGGCTGGGAGAGGCCACTGCACTCCAGTCTGGGCAACAGAGTGAGACTCCAACTAAAAAATAAATTAATTAATTTAATTAAATAAGTTTGGTCTTAGCTAATCAAGTTTTATTTTTTTATATAATAGTAGAAATCAGGGTGAATTCTTGTATTATATTTATTAATGAAATCTGCTCATCCTCACTATAACACTAGAAATTATGCATTTGAAAAATCTTTCCTTTAAAGATCCCATCTGTATACCTAACCCTTAATTTTACCCCACAGCTTTAAAATAAAAAATTTAAAAGTTAAAAAAAAACAAAATAAAATGATTCCATAAAGAATGTTGTACCTTCTGTTGGTATCTCAAAACTTGGAGATTAGAACTGATAATTAATATAAGCTTGTTGGAGAACTGAGCTGTCATCTCGAGAAAGAGATGTGAAGAATCTTCACAGAGCATTCAAAAGTAAAATAGTAGGTTTGCTCTTCAGAACTGGATTGCCTTTTGAAAAAATAAAAGCCAATAAACATCCAACTGCTTTAATTCAAAAAAATAATGTTTGTCTCTGATGTCAAATTCTGTAGTGCCAGTCATTTGAAGTATAGAGGGCTTTGACATGTACAGAATGAAAAGCCAAGAATATCTTTCCTGTTAACTTGTAGTTTTGTGTTGCAGGCACACAAAAAATCCCTTTGGAGGATTGAACCCAATGAAGGCATGGTTCCTCCAGAAACTGATGTTCGACTGGCAGTGACCGCCAACCTGAATGACATACTAACATTCAAAGACACAGTCGTTTTGGACATTGAAAATAGCAACACCTATCGGATTCCTGTGCAGGCTTCTGGAATTGGTTCCACCATTGTTTCAGACAAGCCCTTTGCTCCAGAACTCAATCTGGGGGCACATTTTAGGTAGGGAAATATCATGGACCAATTTTTATGGGTATAACATATGTTGTATAAGGTGAGCATCACCTCTACTTTAAAAGTTTATTTTAAGTAAACAGAAGTAGCCTCCTAAGTCCCTTTCATTCCCCATCAGCCGGAGTCCAGCTCCAGCAGGTCAGGGTTTCCTGAAGGAGGGACGGTATTGGCACAGGAGAAAATACTTGGACACTGACTCTGCTGCAAGCAGGACAAATGCCAATTTATTGTCTTTTTCAAATCCTTTTATACCCTGCATGTTTTTTATTTTCAAGGCAATCAGTTTCAATTTAATGGACCGGACAGGCAATGTATCTTTGTTCATCCTGTTTTGATCTTAAAACATTATCATCCTAAACATTAACTATAATGTTATAAACTTATAACATTTTTAATGATTACCATTTCTTAATGTCCATACAAAACTTACTTATTCCTATAACTATTACATTATAAATCACTACCAAGTTCTAAGCACTATAATTGTCACATAGATTAACAAGTCACACCTGTGACCTTCACACAGCAATTTGCAACTAGCTGGGGTAAAACAACATTTTCAAGGTTTCTTAGCCACAAGTTGACCTGACTAGTTTTCCACAATGTTACACCTGGTATTTACAATCTGCCTCAATTATCCCCTGCCAGGGAGACTGGGCTTTAATGTTTGTAAAACAAAAGGCCTCTCGGTCTCAAGTCACCTTAGTCACAATCCCTAACCAGAATTACAAGCCTCCTTAACAAAGGAAAGTAGAGGCAAGGGTGCTCTAATATTTATGTGATTGTTAATTTTTTTAAGCATAATACACCACATGTAGAAATTAAGAAATTAAGTAAATGTAATTTTTTCATTGGCACTCTTCCTAAAAATACAAACTGTAGCTTCTCAAATTTCTCCAATTAGTTGCCAATCAGAAGAAATAAAATCTTACAAGCAATTATCTCACATGATATTTAAATTTTCTATTGATAATTTCCTGGCAAGGCCAGTGAGTTCCCTGACAAACCTTAAATCGAGCACCTTCTGATTTTTTACGATTTTCCCAACTACAATGTTTAATCAAGTGAATGCGTGATCTAATACCAGGAGGCCGGGGACATGGAAACCTAGGGAGGAATTCAAATGAAGGGAAGGTAACTTTTCATGAATTCCCCTCTTGCCTTTTTGCAAGGGGTAGTGGAAGCGTGAGTGGAATTTTGCTTTCCATCCTCAGACTGTACAGAACTTTTCAACTGCACCAATAACAAAAGTAGAAGAAGCAAGCACTATAATTGTCACATAGTGCTCAGCTGCCCAGGTTTGCTTTGCAACCCGAGGTCTTCAGCCCCCTGGACTTTGTCAGCAGGCAAGCCTCCATGGCTGGCTCCCAACACCCATCCTCACTTCCCCCTTCATGATGGGGTACGTTAGCCACAAGAAGACATTTTCAAGTCATAGTTTGGTTACCTCCTCTAGTGTAAACTTCTACACACAAGAAAGAGATGATATATAGGAGGTGTATTCTTCTCTTAAACTTGTAGTCACTTCTTGTGATGAATTTAGAATCTCAACCATGATTTCTCCTCTTTACTTCCAACACACTGCTAATTCCTCTCTATGTATGTACAAAATACAGATACATCTTAGCAGCAACCTAAGTAGAATATACTTAGGAAATTAAAAAACTTATTGCAAATGTATTTCATCCAGTGTTACAGAGCCAATAGCTTTCTTTAGCATTATATCATCCACTTGCCTCTCCACCATAGTGCGAACAACTGAAATGGCTGTAATTGACTTTACCTGCTCACCCAAGAAAATCTAGAGGATCTAAATATTTAAATAAAAAGTGGTATAAACACCTCTGAGCAGAACAATCTAAATGTGGATATCAAAATAGGAGGTTTGAATGCTAAGTATAGAGGACATGTATGGGAATTTATTCCTGGTTCCTCAGGAGAGTCATGCAGCTATCACTTGTTGACTGTTAGGGACCAGTTGAATTTGTACCTGTCAGTTGCAGGACTGTGAACAGATCTCAGAAGGGTGTTCCTCCTGTCTTCTGGTCTAGCAGGCTCTGAAACCAAGTCAGACATATGTGCTTAGACAAGACGTAGCTGGCAATAATCAGTTAGAAGCCTCTCCACAATCCTTCCCTCTGCTCCATCTACTAAACATGGGACTTGACTGAAAATACCATAAGCCAACAGAGAATTAAGTAACAGGCAAGTCATATCATTGAGTTGCATGTTTTTAGACAAGTATCCAATTGTATTTTTTGAGTCAACTAGATAGAAAAATTCTCCTCTCTGCCTGTTTATTGGCAATAAGCTAGGATATTTCGTCATTGTAAACCAGTGCTTCTATTTTCAAATGTCCTTAAATGCACTCAAATATAATGATAGAAAACAATATACTTCAAACCAGACCTAATTACATGTTCTTCTTAATCTACAAATAGTGTCAAATAGCCTCCAAAGGATATTCTGACACTTGCCTGGAATTGGAGGGTTAGCTAACAGTTTTCTAAGAATATAAAAGCAAACTGTAACTTTTAGCTGCTAGTTTCTCCTCTGCCTAAACACTATTGTTATTCTTTTTTGGCATAAAATCATGATGCCAGCAACCTCCAGAAGAACTGTCAAAAGCAGTGCTGGGTAAACTACAGCCCTGCTGCCTGTTTTTGTAAATAAAGTTTTATTGGAACACTGCCATGCTCATTTTTTTACATATTGTTTATGGCTGCTTTCACACCACATGAGAAAGCTGAGTAGTTGTGACAGGACCATGTGGCCCAAAAAGCCAAAAATAATTCTTATTCAGCCCCTTAAAGAAAAAGTTTGCCAACCCTAGTCTAAAGAAATACCCATATATTACCCTTTCTGATTGCATATTATGGGCAACTCCCTTAGATTTTCAGAGCTTTTATCTCTTAATCTATAAAGTGGTAGTAATATGCTTATTATGACTAGATTGCTGTGATGATTAAAAGATATACTGTAAACAAGTAACAGAGGTCCTGCCTAGTTTAGAAACAATATATATTATTTATTTGTTCCCCCAAAAGCTTACTATTTGCTATGAAGGTAAACTGCCAGGTCAAGATACTCCAAAGAGCATGTCCTGTGGACATATATTTACAACATATTTAATACAAATGGCTCTACTTAACAACTGGCAAATATTCCTTCTGATTATTTATTTGGTGCTTCAACTTACTTAGGCATGATGCCATTTCCTAAGGAAGAACAAATGGGATGAAATCTCAAAGTCTAGTAAAATTTGAAAAATAAAAAATAGTCTTGAGTTGAGTTTTTCCCTAAGAAAGTATTTTAAAGTAAGCATATAAATCAATGGAAAAATCTCAAACAAACAAAAACACATTTGAACCACATCCAAGATGTTAGAAATCCCAGTTTTTTAACAAATAGCCAGGCAATCAGGAAGTCCTTATATTTGTGGAATAGATGAATGAATGAACAAATGAATGAATGAAATAGCAACATCTTCAAAATACATTAGTCTAAGGAAAGTGATTGATCCAGATTTTGTTCTGGTTCACTGAAATCCCCTTGACCTTTATTAAGGCTTAGAGGATATTTGTTGTTTGTCTTCAAAGTTCCCTTCAAATTGAGCCTGTCATCACAAGATATTCCACTCAGTCAGTAGAAACTTACTCAACACAATTTGAAATATGCTTCTCCTTGAGTAGGTATTTTGCTTTCCTTTCACCCTTCAGAACTGTTACTCATAAATAGAGAGCTTTTCACATGAACTGTGTCTGTGTGTTCTGCAGTGTGGTTGACTTGTTGGGGAAGACTGAGGAGAAGTAGGATTTTCCCAAAGCCCCATACCTGGTTGTGTCAACTCTGGGACCAAACCCAGGTCCATGATGCACACATCTTATCCCTTTGAGTAGATACTATTTTGTGCCATCGCTGTGTTTGTTCCTAGTAGCATCATGACTTAGTTTTCCTACTTTTTTTTTTTTTTGCTGCAAAAACCTTTTTTTTTATTTGGTCCAGGGCAGTTAAAAAGCTGCCCAGTGGCTGGAGGGGGAGGCTCTGGCAGAAGAAGCCCTGATACTTTGAGAGGGGCCCCCCCAGAGGCTGCTGGGCTCCTAGTCATGCTTGAGGGTGAGCCTTTCGAAGAGATACTCGCCCAGCCCAGACTCAGGCTGGGTCAGCCTGTGAAGGTTGGTCAGGTGTCCTACATTTTTTATAAAGAAATATCCCCTTCGTGGCCAGATACAGTGACTCATGCCTGTAATTCCAGCACTTTGTGATGTCAGGGTGGGAGAACTGCTTGAGCCCAGGAGTTCAAGACCAGACTGGGCAACATAGTGAGACCTCATATTAAAAAAAACAAAACAAAAAAACTAGCCAGGTATGGTGTTATATACCTTCAGTCCCAGCTACTCACCTCATATTTACAAAAAAAAAAAAAAACAACTAGCCAGGTTTGGTGGTATATACCTTTAGTCCCAGCTACTCAGGAACTGAGGTGGGGGGATTGCCTCAGCTCAGAACGTACAGTGAGCTGTGATCATACCACTGTACTCCAGCCTGGGCCACAGAGTCAGACTCCAACTCAGAAAAAGGAAAAAAAATGAAATATCTTATTGTGTGTCACTCACTGTTTTAAATACTTCCAGAGGAGTAAATCCCAGAGGTACAGAGCTGAACAGAACATCCATAAGTTGAGTCCTGTCAACACCTACCTCTTCTTTTTCAGCCTGGATACCCACTATTACCGCTTCAAGTTGACCAATAAGGGACGTCGAGTTCAACAGTTGTTCTGGATGCATGGCAGTTTTCGTGCCCAGAGCAAGCTGAACAAGAAGGGCCAGCTTAAGAAGATATGTGCTGATGTCCGGCCCCAGCCTAATGGCTCTCAAGAGTCCAGGAATCCACAGACCCCCGTGTTTCAGCTCCACCCTGTCAGGATGGAGCTGTACCCAGGCCAGACAATCGATGTGATACTTGAAGGCTATTCCGCTACTCCCAGGGTAAAAGGACGACACATTTAGAAGCTATTTTTTCCCTAAATAAATCTTTGCTATATCTATTTCTTAGAAGAGTTCCTTGACATTTATGTGAGAAAGGATGTAGTTTCTCAAGGATTGCATACAGCACTGAGTTACCATGGCAGCATCCATTGCTTTCAAAGTGCAGCACTGCTCAGTTTTCTGTTTGTTTCTATAGCTACCATGAACCCAACCTTAAAGAAGATTCTCATTCCCAGGGGCAACAGTAACTAGCAAATCTCTTATAGAAAAGCATTCAGTTTTCGGTCAAAGAAAAGTATCCTGTTAATGCTTAGCAATATTAATTTAATATTTATTCAAAAATATATTAATATAATATTTATATAGACACTCTAGGATTCCTCTCCTACCCAGGTATGGGACATCTGTGGTTTCTTCTCTCCTAGCCTGGCTACAGTAGTATCACGTATTAAATATTATCTTTTTATGTGTCGATGAAAGAGTCACATTTATCTTCAGCAACTAATTTTCTGCTCATTATCACCATATATTCAGCTTAAAACATTTAAGTAGATTCAAATCATGTGTCTGTTTATTCCTATTTCCTCATGGAGTTTGGAAGCCATCAAAACCTAAAGGAAAGACTTTGAAAGTTACTTAAAAGTCTTTTCTACCCCACAAATGCAGACTTTGTAAATGGGGAATTATGCTACTGGCTTAAGATCCTGCTTGGGTCACAAAATTAGGAGGTAATAGTGATTTTTCTCTGGAAACAATAAGAAATTTGTCTCCAAGAAGATATAATGGGAAAACTGGTCTATTGGTTAGCTTCTCTAGGTCATAGATTCCTCTTTATTTATTTATATTATTTATTTACAGAGCATTTTCAAGTAAAACACATACTCCATACCAAAAAAAGGTTATCTCTCATTATGGAGTGTATAATTTGTTCCTTCTCTCTGTTATGCAGGTGATCAGCCAATTTTTATTGCATATGTACTATTTGACAAATACTGTGCTAGTTACTGAGGCTGAAAAGATGACTAGAACACAGCCCCTTATCTCAAGATACTGACAGCCTGTTGGAGGAGCATATTTACAATGTGGTTATCAAGAACTGGTCATATTTTTAAAGGCATTAATTCTGAGCTTCTGGGGGGGCCAAATTCAGCTTAGGTTTTACTAAAAGCTTCTCTGAGTATTCTTCCAAATCATGCTACATAGTTGAGAAGAGACTGGAATTCATTAACATTCCAAGTCTGAGCACTCTTTAATATAAGCTAGTCATGGCATAATTCACTTTGGTCCTTTCTGCTCTGTAAAAGTAGAAAGACTTTTTAAATAAAAAATTGGGCTTCCTGGATCCAAAGAAACATTAGTCTCTAATACATGATTTTTAAATATTTAAGTATTAAAGGCAAAAATTTTCCAACTACAGTTTCCAATAGTTTGATAAGAAGTCATATAACTACCACTGAACTGTAAGCCTATAAGGATTTTATCTGCCTTGTTCATCACTGTTTTGTACTCCAAGATCCTAACACACTCTAGTTCCTGGTTTTATATATATATCTGAATATAAATCATTATGTCCTCAGGAGCAGTCAGAAATAAACACAGAATTCATCAAAGCCATATTAACCAACCAGAACACAAGTGTGTAAAAGAGCAGTCCCTAAAATGCACTATTCAGAAAAATGTGCTCTACCCTTGTGTTCCCAGGCAGATAGGTGGTAATCAGTTTGCTCTCAGTGGGTCATTACGGTTTCTAAGTTATTCTTATCCCCCAAATACTGGCATGTCTTATTGGCAGGTAGTTAAAGAGAAACTGGTGTGCCATGCCATCATTGGAGCACAGAAGGGGAAGAGCATGTTGATGGCCGTGAACATCACCTGTGAGTTTATTGCACCTCTCATCCAGCTCTCTACCAGGCAGCTCATCTACCGACTGGAGAAGGTCAGTGGGGCATGCTAGGGAGGGCTGGGTGCTCTGACCACGGTCAGCATGTTTGTGTTTTCATCTTTGAAGCTAAATTAATGGGCATCCTGTTACACCCATTATACAGCCCATGTTTTTTAAGCTTTGGAGACCAGTACACATTCAACTAAAAATTCTTAATTGAAACTTACAATCCTTTTAAATATAAATTGCCATGGAAATTCTACTTCCATCATTTCAAGAGTATAAGATCCGAGTGAAGGGGTATTCCAGTGCACTGAAAATGCATTTTAGTTCATCATTTTACTTTAATTAGGTAAAATAAACTCAAAGTAGATAAAGGGTTAAAGTAGAATTATTAATAATTATAATAATCAGTAAGAATTGCTACCGCTGATTCATTAGTGTGTTAGGCATTGAGCCATATTCATTACGTACATTTTCTCTGTTGTCCTTCATAACAACCCTATGCAATAAGTTTTGCTATCATTCCCATGATACACATGACAAAGCTGAGATACAAATTAAACTGGAGAATAATCAATTTAAGCCATTAGATTCACAATCTTTAACTTGAATGGTTTTCTACAAGGGCAAGCAATAAATGGGAGAGTCAGAGGATGGGAGAGAGATGGGAATGGCTGCTACTCAGGGCAGAGGGGCGGGATGGTGAAGAGATGGAGGAAATATCACAGTAGGACTTGACCTACTCCTAGACATGTTTCCATCCCAGAATTACTTGCCATTCAAAAAAGACATATATGGAATATCTGTTGTGAGCTGGGAACCATGGTGATGCTAAAAATCTGGTGAACTAGACAGATATAATAAAAGCCAAGAGAACAGTTGAAGTTACAGACTGCAAATAAATTATTAAAATTTAATTGTTTAAGTCAACATTATAAGCAATGCCATGAAGAAGAGGTGCTGTGAGGAGACAAGGCCTTGTTTGTTCATGTGGTCATAGACAGCTTCCTTGAGCAGATGCCTCAAGTTGAGACTTGAAGTAAAAATAGAAGTTAGTTTGGTGACCAGGGACGGGGAAGAATTGTAGCCAGGGGAAACAGTTCATGTGTGGTGCCTGAGTTAGGAAAGGGCTTGGTGAGCATAAAGAACTGAAAGGTCACCTTGTGAAAGAGAATATGCCAAGTACAGTAAGAGGTCCGTCTGGAGATGTGTGGTGTGCCTGGGAGGCGTATTCTGAACTTTGATGACCATTGGGAGAGCTTCAGGGAGGGGACTGACGCGGTCAGATTTATTTATTAAAACAATCACATAGGATGCTGAGTAGAATATTTATTAAGGCCCACCATGTGCCAGGTACTGTGTCAGGTGCTACAGATATAACAGTAAGAATAATCTTCCCTGATGAATTCCATAGCCTCCTGGGAATATCAAGCATTAAGTAAGCCACTTTCCCACAGTGTAATCTATGCTGTTACACAGAAGTACTGGGTGTGGCAGTGTATGTTCAGTCCTGGGAGAAGCAACTGGACTTTCTTTCATTACCTAGAGGTTTGCAGGAAAATGTTCAAGACCATTTATTCAGGTAGTGAATTCCATCATGTTTTGTTCATTAAAACAAACTAATACCTATTGAGTACCACCATGGACAAGGTGTTCTGCTAGATGAAAAAGGGAGCTTATGGTCTAGTAGAAGAGGTGAGATGTACAAGTTCGATTTGAATCAACCAAAAATTTTTTAGTACTTACAGTATATTAGACACCTACAATGTATAAGGCCGGAAGGACTTTGGCTTAACAGATGAGTAGAGAAGGTAGACATTGAGGAAGTCAAATAATTGTTTCAGTGACAGGAAGCTAAACTAACAAGCTAAACATGAAGCCAGCAAGGTCTATGATACATGTAAAAAACAAAATACTGCAAGAGTTCCTGCTATAGTTATTAAGCTTTATTGCTGTTTAAAATTCTTCCTTTTTGAATAATCAGGAAAGATATTTATTGGCAATAGCTTCGCTGAATGTGATGGCATCATATTTTCTCTGAATGTAGCTATTCAGAGAAAATTCAGTGAATATTTATTGAATAACTATTCTGTAGGCATTGCAATATATATTAAATATGAAACTTAGTTTCTTATTAGATTTTTCCAAGCCTGTAAACATTCATAAAAATGTGTGGGTCGTTCTCATTTTCTTCTATTTATATCCTTATGCCTTTTGGGGGGAGGGGGAAGTGTATGTTTGTTTAAATGTCTAGTATATGTTTGTTTGTTTATCACTAGATTAAAATATGCAAATATTTCAATATGGCAGCAACATAAGGCAGCAACTTCTTATTCAATTAAAAAGTGAATTGAGCTACAACTCCCTGCTTATTTGCTTCCATCCTTCTCTCTTTCCCCCCAACTATGAGAAGTCTGAAATATGTATTTTTCATTGCTCATTTCCTGCTCACTTTTAATCCATATCAGGGACAATGAAGAAATGCAACTTCATTATCCATGTGTAAGAGACTTGTTAGGTCTCAGTATTCAGTTTTAATTGGATAACACCCAATTATCTATTCTGTCTCCTTTTTTCAGCTCAAGGCAATGCATCTGATTTGATACATTAGAATATAATGATACCAACCCTGTCTTTGCAAAGAATTTTTCTATAACTGTTTCCTCAAGTTTGATCTACATTATAACTATCATACCATTCATCAGCCACAGAGATGAAACCACATCTCTGTGGGATTAAAAAGGTCAATTGAAACTAGCAGCCAGTTTGTTTCATAAAGTTCCAGCAGCAAATTCTGTCTGCTAATATTTGGTAAAGGAACAATCCAAAGAGAAGGGGTCATTTTAAAATAGAATGACTTCTCTGTGCTTCAACTCCTTCTCGTCACTAACCTCTGAATGGCCTCTTGCCAAAATCAACCAAGTGTGGCTTCTTCACTTCAAAGCCATCTGCAGTGACACAAGAGCCTTCAGGGAAGGTCACTGGGTAGACAGTTCTCCATGCAGCCTGTTGCTTAGTAGGCCCAAAGTGCTGCTTCATCCTTCCCTACACTGTATTATGTTTCCTACCATATCAGAGGGAGGGAAACAAAGGCTAATACCTATGGTAAATGCCAGATCAAACCTCTACAACTAACCTTGGAAGTACATGGGGAGCTAGTGGTCTACAACTAAGAAAGAAGGCTTAAACCTATGGGTACTGGACACCCAGGCTCACCCAGGGCCAGAGGACCCAGGAGCCAGAGTGCAAGAAAGACTGTGCTGAATGAAGAACTGGAAGACAGAGTCAGATCAAAATAGAACTGGAAGACAGAGTCAGATCAAAATAGAAAATCAGGAGGAAGTAAGTAAAAATCAGAACTAGGAAAAAAGACAAATATAACAAGGAGGCCTGGGAAAAATTGCCTAGAACTGTCAGAAAAGCCAGCAAATGATTTGGAGGCCAGCGACTGAGGCTCCTGGTCACCTCCTGCTGACATTAAAGGACACCCTTTTCCAGGGCACATAAGAAATGATGTAGGCCCCATCAAAATGAGAAAAATCCAATATGACCCGAAACTTCCAGCTCAGGATTCATTTCTGATGCTTTTTCCAGTTGAAAAATTAAATCTGATATGTATAACAGAATAAAAAGATGCTGCTAAATCCTGGTGTTATTGGGAAAAGTTTATAGGAAATGGTTATGAGCATTTGTCAATATAATCGAATAAGTATATTTGCAAATTGGGTATTTTAAGTATAGGAAAAATACTATATAAGGTCAAACGCTTATATAGTATAAATATAAATGATATATAGTATAAATATAAATGATTCTTTATAATGATACCTACATTTATCCACAAGATATGACTACTTTATTAGACTTTTAATAGCACTGTGGAAACTTCTATAGTAATAATTCTATCCAGAAATATGGCTTGTATAGATTTTTTTAACTAGGCAACAAGAGAGTAAGAAATACAATCTGGTAATTTAATGGGTATAGCATTGAATCTGTAGATTGCCTTTGGTAGGATGGACATCTTATCAATGTTGATTCTTCCTATCCATGAGCATGGAATATTTTTCCATTTGCTTGTGCCATCTTTGACTTCTTTGAGTAGTATTTTGTACTTTTCATTACCAACAGTATTCTTCTCAGATCTAGAAACAACAATACAGAAATTCATATGGAAACATAAACGACCACAAAAAGCCAAAACAATCAGCAAAACAAACAAAGCAGGAGGTATCACACTTCAGACTTTGAACTTTATTACAAGGCTTCAATAATCAAAACAACGTGGTATTGGTACAAGAACAGACATATAGACCAGTGGAACAGAATAGAGATTCCAGAAGCAAAAGCTCAATTTCTCAACCAACTAATCTTCAACAAAGCCTCCAATAAAAACCACTGGGAGCCGGGCTCTGTGGCTCAGCCTGTAATCCCGTGCCTTTGGGAGGCTGAGGTGAGTGAATTGCCTGAGCCCACGGGTTCGAGACCCGCCTGGGCAGCGAGACCTCATCTCTACAATAAATCAAAAAATCAGCCGGGCGTGGTAGCGCCTGCCTGTAATTCCGGCTACTCGGAAGGCTGAGGTGGAAGGATCGCCGGAGCCCAGGGGGTCAAGGCTGCGGTGGCCGGGAGCGGCCACTGCACTCCAGTCTGGGTGACAGAGTGAGACTCCAACTCAAAAAAAAACCACTGGGGAGAGAAGAACCTATTCAGTAAATAGTTCTGGGAAAACTGGCTGACCACGTGCAGAAGAATGAAACAGGACCCCTATCTATCCCCATACACAAAAATCAACTCTAAATGGATCAGAGACCTAAACATAAAACTATAAGAATCTTAGAAAATGCAGGAGACACCCTTATGGAAATTGGAACTGGCAACCAATTCCTCATCAAAGCCCCAAAAGCCCATGCCATAAGAGATAAGATTGACAAATGGGACCTCATCAAACTGAAAAGCTTCTGCAAAGCAAAAGAAACCACCAAGAGAGTGGGGAGACCGCCCACAGAATGGGAAAAAATATTTGCCCAAATATCTAACAAAGGCCTAATATCCAGGATCTACAAGGAACTCAAATATGCCAAAAGGAAAAAAACAAGCAACCCCATTAAAAAGTTGTCAAGGCAACCCCCTCCGGTCCCCTCCCACTTTAGGAGATTTTCTGTCCTCTCAATAAATCCTGCTTTCTAACTTAAAAAAAAAAAAAAGTGGTCAAAAGACATGAGTAGACACCTCTCAAAAGAAGACATATGGGCCAGACTCGGTGGCTCAGTCTGTAATCCCAGCACTTTGGGAAACCGAGGCAAGTGGATTGTCTAAGCCTGAGAGTTCGAGACCAGCCCAGGCAACTTGGTGAGACCTCGTCTCTGCAACAAAAGAAAAAATTAGCCAAGCGTGGTAGCGTGTGCCTGTAGTTTTGCCTACTTAGAAGGCTGAGGCAGAAGGATCGTCTGAGGCCAGCAGGTCGACGCTGGGTGGCTGTGAGTGTGCCACTGCATTGACAGAGTGAGACTCCAACTCAAAAAAAAAAAAAAGACATACAAGTAACCAATAGATTCATTAAAAAATGCTCAGCCTCACTAATCAGAGAAATGCAAATCAAAACCATACTGAGATACCACCTAACTCCAGTAAGAATGACCATCATTAATTAAACAAAAAACAGCAGATGCTGGCGAGGATTCGGAGAAAAGGGAATGCTTCTACATTGTTGGTGGGAATACACTATGGAAAACAGTGTGACGATTCCTAAAAGAATTAGAAATCAACCTTCCATACGACCTAGCAATCCCCTTTCTGGGGATATACCCAGAGGAACTTAAATCACTTTACAAAAAAGACACCTGCCCATGCATGTTTATTGCAGCACTATTCACAATAGCAAAAATATGGAACCAACTATACTGCCCATAGAAACTGGACTGGATTTTAAAAATGTGGTACGTATGCACAATGGAATATTACACAGCCATAAAGAATAACAAAAGTATGGACTTTGTAGCAACTTGGATAGATTTAGAGTCTATCATACTCAGTGATCTTTCACAGAAGCAAAGAACTGAGTACCACATGTTCTCAGTCATAAGTGGACCCTGAACATTTACCATAATACAATAAGAAAGGAATTGACAATAGGGAAACACTGCTAGGGGAGTGGGGGGTATATAACGTCAATAAGGGTGCCTGATTTCAAACCAGGTGAAGTGGGGACCAAAGGGAGTCCCAAACTTTACCTGTACAATGTATACCTAATTCTGAATTGTACTTCACATCTTTAAAATTAAAAATAAATAAAGCCAGGTGAAAAAAAAGAAAGAAATACAATCTATGTTCTCTGGGTTATAGAGGTCCACCATACATCATTCCACGTGATAGTCCACCATACATCATTCCACGTGATCTATCTAAACCTCTCTCTATATATGTGGGGGACTCTAAAAAACTGGAATTTGTTCATTCAAAAATTGTGTATTTATTCTTAAATGTTTAAACTTCAGTCACCTTTAAAGTACTCTCCATTTGATGCAATATACCTATATCAAGAAGCTCTTTCCACTGCTCAAAACAGTTTTTGAACTTGTCAATTTTGATGCCTTTTAGTGCATCTGTCATTTTTTGTTTCACTTCTTCCACATCAGCAAAATGTTTCCCTTTGAGGACTTGTTTCATTCAGGGAAACCAAAGTAAAGTTGCTCAGGGCGAGATCAGGTGAAGAGTAAGGTGGGGCATGGAGGTCATGCATTTTTGGTCAAAAACTGCTGAACATTCACACAGTGTGGGCAGGTACATTGTCATGGGAGAAGAACCAGTCACCTGTTTGCCACAACCTGGGATGTTTCTTGCGCAAATCGTGACATAACCTTCTCAAAATTTCCAGATAAAAACTTTGGTTGACTGATCCAGAGGAACAAATTCTAACCGTACTACAAGGGATCTGCCCTCCAAAAGATAATTCTGGGTTTTCTGGGGGTGTCCTCCCTCATATGTATATGAAAGGGGGGAGCACTAAACTTGTTAACAATGAATGTGAGACTTTTGCTACTAAAGACTTACTATATTTACCATAACCTGGTTTGTTTCCTCTTTTTCCATTTTTACAGAAACCTAATACTGTCCTGAAACCTAGTTACCAGCCCTTGGTCATAAAGAACGTTTCCACTCTGCCTGTGAACTTGTTGCTGTCAACAACTGGACCCTTCTTTATATGCGAGACTGATAAATCCCTGCTCCCAGCAGCTCCTGAGGTACCTGGACAGGGGCTGTCGTAACAAGCTCCTAGGGGGTTGTGTGTGTGATAAAAGGAGAGAATAATAACAATACACCACCTAACTTCAGTTCAGAAAAAAGTAAAGGATCCAGGAAAGACTACAGGAAATTTAAAATGAAATAAATAAATTCCAATATCTATCCACAGAGACACTATCATTAGTGGCATGAGAACATCCAACTCATTATGATAACCTTTTTGCTCCTGACCACTATAATGAAGCCAATCTGTAGAAAGCAGTGACTTCCTACTCATGGCAGGAAAGATCTTTTAATTCCCTTCCCTCAAATCCAATTAAAACTCCATACTCAAGGAAATGAGGAGATAACCAAGCCCAATCCCCAGACCAGCAAGCCCACCTCTAAATACCGAGAAATGGGCAGAGGGAGGAACTCACTCCGGTCACCAATCTCTAGGATTCAGCATCCTCTAGACAGCCCTATGTGTTTGTCCTCATGATCCTCTGCCAGTGGGAATGGCTGGACCATGGGTCAGTGACATTGCAGCTTTGTAGGAGAGGAAGATTGGCAGAGAAACAAGTCCCCACACACCATTTTGTTCAGCCTCCTGCTCTAGGAAGACAGCTAATAGAGATGTGGTATGAAGAGAAAGGGGGCTGGCAGGTAGCAATTGCAGTATCACAGAAGAAGTAGTCTGTGACTTAAAGAGATTTGCTTTGAGGCACACCCAGGGAGATGGATCTTTGGGGGAGAGTGGGACAGTACACTTGGTAACAGGGTTTCTTGACAATAGCCAGCTAGAAACTTTGAGCTGCGCTACTACCTTCCTCACCCTCCCAATGGTGCTTTGAATGAATGGATCTCATTCAAGCATGATCTGGGAAGAAAAATAGCTGAAATCTTTGAGCAGAGAAAGCAAAGGAGAAAATGATCACAAGCGACACACAGATGAAAAAATATTGCAAAGGGATGTCCCCAACGAAGATGACCAAAAATACAAACATGAAATCTCTACAGTCTCAGAGAAATTGCAGGTAATATGACCCGTCCTTAGAGAGAGAAGGAAATGCAAATGTTCAAAGAGGAGACAAAAAGTTACCTCACAGAGCATAGAAAAACAAACAGATGGGAAAATGAAGATTCAGACATGAGTACTTTCTTAGCCTGGGTGGTAAAATAGGCTCACTCTTGTCCCTCCTGAGATCTTAATAGGATAAAAGTAGACATTTTTAAAAGGGAAGGAACCCAAAGTAATAAAATAAAGAGGGAGGAAGATAAGCATAACCAAATAAAGAGAGATTTAAGTAACTTCTAGAAGATAAAATGAGGATTGGAATGGGTAAAAAAAAAAAGAAAAGAAAAGAAAAAGAAAAAAATCACAAATATCTGCATCCCAGAAAATATTCTAATGAAATTGTAGAAGATGAAGGGGTTATTTTGCCCAGTAGGCTTTGGGGCAACTCTGGGCTTGGAGGCAACAACTATGAGGACAGGGCCGAAAATAGAAGAATTCTATGGACACCAGACCCCACCTAGAAAACATGGAGAACTGACTTTTATCCCAGGACGAAAACAGTGCTCTTCTCCAGAGAAACTGGTCAAAATGTCTGGGGAAATCTAATGCTTCTAGCATTGGTACCCTAGAATAAAGTCTCTTCATTCTAGTATCTGGGATGTGTCCACAGCTAGATTGTCCTCTCTCTGCACAAGGAAACTGTCCAGTCTATCAACACTACTATAAGAATTGAAAGACAGGTTTTCTGAGTTGTTGAGATAGCAGAGTGGGCCAGGAACTTACTGTTTGTTGTAATAATTCTTATAGTACAGTTTCACCTTTGATATTATTTGCATGTATAATTTGTATAAAACCACACATATAATTTTTAAAAGAGCATCTACAAATCAATAGAAAAAAACATCAACAACCAAATAGAAAACCAGGTAAAAGATATGAACAGAGTTCACAAAAGGAAAAATAATAGCTTTTAAACATAAATAGCTTTTAAACATATGAAAATATGCTCAACTTTATTCATAAAAGAGGAAATTAAAATTAAAATTACTATGAAATACACTTTTTAACCTATCAGATTGGTGAAGAGCAAAAATTGGCCAGTAGTATGTTAGGATGGGTATGTGGAAACAAGCAACTCTCCTTCGGTGCTGCACAGTGTAGCCTGGAAGGCAATATGGCACTAGCTATTGAGATTTTTAAATGTCCATACCCTTTGACCTAGTAATTTCACTCCTTGGAATTTATCTTACAGATATACAATATATGAAATGACATATATACAGGGATATTAACATCCGTGTTGATTATAAGAGCAAAAGATTTGGAACCAATATTCATTAGTAGGAGACTGGTTAAATAAATGATGGCAGAGTTATATGATGGAATTAAAAATAATGCATCAGCTCCATATGCACTGATATTGAGTTATCTTCCAGTGAGAATAGTGAAAAGCAGAGCAGTGTGCATAGTATGCTATCATATGTACAAAAAATAAAATGCTACATATACAAATATTTTTTAGTTCTATAAAACATCTCTATAAAGATAGACAAGGCATATTTAATCTTGGTTACCTCAGGGGAGGGAAAGTAGTTGGCCTAAGTTAAAGGTGGGGAGATGGGCACAAGGACGGCTTGTTGTTTATTGTTTTTTTCTATTCAAAATATAAATTAACTTTTTTTTTTTGAGTTGGAGTCTCACTCTATTACCCAGGCTAGAGTGCAGTGGCACACTCACAGCCACCCCAGCGTCAACCTGCTAGGCTCCGGCAACCCTTCTGCCTCAGTCTTCCAAGTAGTCAGATCTACAGGCACATGCTACCATGCCCAGCTAATTTTTTATTTATTGTAGAGATGAGGTCTCACCATGTTGCCCAAACTAGTCTTGAACCCATGGGCTCAGGCAATCCTCTCACCTTGGCCTCCCAAAATGCTGGGATTACAGGCTTGAGCCACTGCGCCTGGCAAATTAGCTATTTAAAAAAAATTTTTATAAGTAAGGCTATACCTCATCTTGGGACAACAGTAAAACATATCTTAGTAAAGTTACAGGATTTATTGATAACCAAGGAATTCTATGGCATGTAAGCCAAAAAGAAGAGGCCCATCAAGGGATGATTTTAGTCTAACTTCAGACTGCTCTGCAGTAACACTTAATGCCAGATGACAGCAGAGCAATGACTACAGAGTTTTGAGGGAAAGAAAGTGTGACCCAATAATTTTATAACCAGTCAAAGTATCCTTTGCATATAAAGATAATAGACAGGCAACCTCCAGCTTAGGAAACGTTGAATACAGCTCTCATGCATGCTTTTTGAAAAAACAACTTGCCGATGATATACAACTATCCAGAAGAATAAAAGAAGTGCTCAGCAGTTTAAAAAAGAAAAAAAATGAGAGGGAAAGACTGATAGGAAGACTCAGCCCATTTATAGCTGTAAGACTGAGGCTATGCAACTTTGACAATTGGGATTTCAGAGCAGAATGTTTTAAGTCTCAGCTTTTTAAAATTTTACTACAGCTAGTAAAAATTGGGAGGGGGAAAAGCATAAGTGTGCTGATTTCATCCCCTTATACAGCCAGATGTCAATAAAAGATAGTCTAAAGTTGAAACTGCTTAATATTTGACTATCTTTTCTCTGGATTATAAAGGGATAATAGTAATAACTAACATTGCTGTACACTGCACTGTGTGCAGGGCACTGCCCTGAAACATCTCATATGTGTATATTAACTTGTCCCATTCTCTTTAAGAGGTAGGTCCTATCTCTTGTTTCCCCTGAAAGTATTATTATATTTTACAGAGTAGAAACTGAGGCCCAGTACTTTGCCCAAGGTCTTTCAGTTAGTATGGCAGAACCAAGATTTGAACCCAAGCAGTCTGGCTCCAGAATCCTTAATCTTAGGAATTAGTATCCCTTGTATAAGAAAAATTTCTCTGGGTTTTTTTAAGAAAAAAATCCAAACATGATTTTTTAGAACATAGTATAGTTTAATTTCATTTTTGTAAAATCCTATTATTCATCCATCATATCTGGACAAACATTTGCCAAATGTTAACTCTGAGAAATAATATCTAATGAAATTTTGGAAGAATTTCTCATTTCTTCTTTGTGCTTTTATATGTAATGCGCATCTTTGTGTCATTTCTGCAAAACAATAAAGTCATTTCTCTGGGAAAAAAACTTAAGTCAATCTTCAATACACTTAAACACCAAGTATTGTATATCAAGTGCTATAGATGCCATGGTCTACAAGGGTGAATTTTATATTGTACCTAGCCACTTGTGCCAGCAGTAAGACCAAAGATCAGGTGACTGCTCTGACTTTCAGATGGAATTATACTGACTAAAGAGTCATTACTCTCTCTGATTGTTGAGTCAGATAAGTAGCTTTATCAACTGAAACGATCTAATCATGTCAGAGAGTGCACAGTTAAACACCTGAACCATTTAAGCCCAAAGAAAGATGAGGTGCACTGTAAACAGATTCATTCCTGCGTGCATTCTTCCTGACTGCCTCAGGGCACTTGCTGCAAAACCACAAGGTGGCTTTCATGCCCATTAAATATGGGAACTGAGCAATGCCTTAAAAAAACAACTTATAGCCAGACTTTCTAGGGGAAAGTGTTACTGCAGACACTGGCAGCAAGGAACACATGGGGATTTGAATCAGAGAGAGAAAAGAACAAACAAAATCTTCCGGAAAAAACTCTGTACAGCCCTGAACTGTCATTTTAAGTTGAATAGAAAACAGCAGAAAGTGGATAATACTGTGCTTAAGAGTTAGGATTGCCAACGTTAGAAAAGAAATTAAATTACCTAATCCGTCCTTTTCTGGGTCACCCTCTACTGAGCTCCCCTCCCCCAGGGCCTCAGAAAGCCTTTTAAAAAAATTCTTCAGCAAAGAACTTTTCTCATTTGTCTAGAAAGAGCATTTCAAAATCTAATTTATTTTTAGTTAAGAATATTTTATAATAATTATTCATAGTAGACTTTCCCTTTTACAACTCCTCAATTTTTATAACCCCACACATCTTATCAAAATCTCTTCCTTCAACCAATTCCTCTCCAGATTTTCCTTGCTTTCACTTTCAACTAATTAAATGTGTGTGTGTATATATAAACACCTATACTTATATGTGCTAGCTGTTTAATTATGTATGAGTATATGTGTGTGCATTTTATACTGATATGGTTGTGTATGGGTATCTGTGTATGTACATGAATATATATATATACACACATATATATATATATAACTTTTTGGTTGTCCCTTTTCATGCGTCAGGGTGGAAAATGCGTTGTACAAAAATTGTTAATTCCCCATTATCTTATTTGCAGCCCATTAAACTGGAGATTGATGAAGAAAAAAACCTGCTGATCAAGTTCGACCCTTTCTACAGAAATGATTTGAACAACTGGGTGGCAGAAGAAATTCTAGCAATTAAGTATGTGGAGCATCCTCAGGTAGACAGCCTGAACCTGCGTGGAGAAGTACATTACCCCAACCTCAGCTTTGAGACCATGGAGCTGGATTTTGACTGTATCCTGAATGATACTGAAGTCATTCGCTACATTACAATCACCAACTGCAGCCCCTTAGTTGTGAAGTTCCGCTGGTTCTTCCTGGTAAACGATGAGGAAAATCAGATAAGGTACCTCTGGCATAAAAATCCCACAGAACTCTGCTGTTCATTTATTTTCTTTCAGGCTTCGTACTCGGTTTCCTGACCTCTGCGTACTGATCATTCATGAATATTTTCCATTCTAACAAATAATTACTGACAAAATTAGCAAGGAACTTAAAATCATGATCCATCCTAGATTTCTAAACAGGAAAAGCAGGTTAAACATTTTTGAAAGCCCAGTCACCACCAGCTTAACAAAGCAGTATCCATTAACCTGTTCTAATTTTTATTCTAGATCACTAGAAATTTATTACTAAAAAATAAAGTCTTTGTAGAGTTTTTTAAAATATTGTTTTATTGTAGTAAGAACATTTCACAAGAGATCTACCCTCTTAACAAATTGTTAAGAGTAAATACAGTATGTTGACTATAGGTACAACATTATATAGCAGACCTCCAGAACATACTTATCTTGCTAAAGTGAAATTTTATGACTGTTGATACCCATTTTTCTCTCTCCAGCCCCTGAAACCACCATTCCACTCTTTGATTTTATGAATTTGACTATTTAAGGTACCTCATATAAGTGGAGTCATGCAGTAACTATCTTTCTGTTACTGGCTTATTTCACTGAGTATAACATCCTCAAGGTTTATCTATGTTGCTGCATATTGCAGAATTTTCTTCATTTTTAAAGCTGAATCATATTTTATCCCACTGTATGTATATACCACATTTTCTTTATTCATTTATCTGTGGGTAGACACTTAGGTTGTTTCCACATCTTGGCTATTGTGAATATTGCCACATTGAACATAGGAGTGCTAATATCTCTTTGAGATCCTGATTTCAATTCTTGGATAATCCAGAAGTAGGAGTACAGGATCATATGGCAGTTTTATTTTTAATTTTTAAAGGAAACATCTTACTGATTTTCATAGTAGCTGCACCATTTTGTATTGCCAGCGACAGTGTGCAAGGGTTTCAGTTTTTCTACATCCTTAATAGCACTTGTCTTTTTTTATAGTAACCATCCCAACAGATATAAGATGATATCTCATTGTGGTTTTTATTGGCATTTCCCTGATCATTAGTGTCACTGAACATTTTTTTATATACCTGTTGACATTTGTAGATCTTCTTGGAAAAAAGTTTATTCAAGTCCTTAGTCCTTAATAATTGGGTTATTAGTTTTGGTTTTTACTATTGAGTTGTAGAAATTCTTATATATTTTGGAGATTAACCCCTGATCAATTATATGTTTTGCAAATATTTTCTCCCATTTCATAGGTTACATTTTCACCCCATTGATTGTTTTATTTGCTGTGCAGAATTTTTTAGTTTGATGTAGTCACACTTGTTCATTTTGATTTTGTTGCCTATAGGGTTTTCATAATAAGCATTTCAGACTCAAAACACATATTGAGTAGGACCCTACATAGACTATGTGCTGCATTGAGCTCACATGTTGCTTGTCTGCACATTTCAGTGGGCTTCTGGTCCATATATGTATCTGTATAGACATATACATCACTATAAAATAGTGGGAGGTGACAAGTGCTGCATTTTCTACATTGTTAGTAACCAGGATTAATGGGCTTTTGTCTATGTCCTTATTGGATGTTTGACACTCATTTTTTTAGCATGTAAATGTTGAATGGCCATTCTTAGTTGAGGGCATTTGGTGTTATTTCTTTAGTGGCTTGTCAGTGCTTCCTGTACATAATCCTCATCTTATATATGACAGCCAATCTTTTCTTTCCTGTTCTTGTTACCACAGTAATGACAGTTTGCTCTGGATGTCTTCCGTAGACATCTAATGATGACCCAGCGTAGCATTGAAGCTGGCAGCTGGTCCTGGGCCTGAGCATTGGAGCCTGCTCATTAAGTGCCATGGACTGTTTGGGTTTGGAATGAAATTCTGTAGATGGTGAACATTTAAAATAATTATGGAAAAATCAGCCAACCTGACCTAATGCACTTTGAGTACCAGATTTTGTGAAGTTATTCTGATGTAATTCAGCTAAATGAGTCTATTCCATCAGGGAACAGGGACATCCTTTATTTATTTTTTATTTTTGAGAAGACATTTTCATAATTAAAATAATGACATTTTGAAAATGTACTTGGCCAATACCGAAGATGATACACTTAATTTTTCATTGGTTTATGCATTTGCTTAACCATTTTCTTTCTTCAGTATCTTCCCATCTCTTTATATTGAGCCTTTGCTTACAATTCATTTTTTCATTCACTTATTCAATCAGAGAATCATTCAGGAAACATTTGATAAGTAATTCTTGTGTACCAGACATTAAGGCATCAGGGATATAAAAATGAACAAGTCGTGATTCCTGTTCTGAGGCTAGTGGGGAAAGCAGACATGTAAACCACAGTGGATACATAATAAATAATGCCAGGCTCTTGGGGTGGGAGATCTGTGCCCACTGGAGTCAAAAAAGGCTGCACTGATGAGTCACAGTTAAGTGTTCTAGATGGAGAAACAGGAAAGTATTCTAAATAACAAGAATAGCATGTATAAATTAGTTAGGATTCATGGGTTTATTCTGTTGTAAATAATAGAAAGTCTGACCCTAAGCAAAAATTAAAAGGAAGGGAAATTCATTGGTTTCCACAGCTCAGAAGTCCATATTTATTTTGGCTTCTGACCTGACTTAAAACAAGGATTCAAGCAATGTCATCATCAGAGCTAGGCTCTCTGTCTCTTGGGTCTGCTTAGTTTCATGTGTTTGACCTCGTTCTCAGATCAGCTTTTCTCTCATAGTTACCAATGGCTGCCAGCACTCCCAGTGCCATGTCCTTTTAGACTCTCACCCACTGGAAAAGAGCATGAGCTGTTTCTCTCAAAACTTCCAGGAGACTCACTCTGGTCAGACCAACTTAATCACACTTCCTGTCTTCATTCCCAATCAGTCACTGTCAGGAAATGGTGATGCATTCGTCATCATTGGCCTGGCCACATGCCTTACATCAAAGGCTGCGGATGGTTATCTCAAAACCAGATGGACTGGAGGGGGTGGGAATGGGGTAGATCTCCAGACAAAAGCTGACATATGAGACAGTGAATGCTGAAGAGCAATGACACACACCTACCACGGTGTCAGCAGAGGGTACGTCAGGGTGGCCAGAATGCAGACTTCATTGTGGTGGAAGAAGTCAGGGGAGATGAGTCTGGAGAGGTAAATTGGCAGCAGTGTGTGAGAGGCCTGCTATTCCATAAGGAATTTAGACTTTCCATTGGGGGCAATAGTGAGATTTGTCATCAACAGGGAGACAGAGTAAGGTTTCTTCAGAAAGATAACTCTTAGCACCATTCCTCTCAGTGACCAACCCCTCTTTCCTGAAACACATTCCTTTCTTGGCTTGCAGGACACCATATTCTCCTGCTTTTCCTCTTATCCTCTCAATGACTCTTTCTCAGCTCTCTGCCAGCAACACCACAAATGGAGTATAAAGATGCAGGACCTGTCCTAGGCCCTCTCCATCTCCTAGAGATCAACTCACTCCCATAGCTCGAGTCAACCTTTCTTGCTGAGGCTTCCAAATGCACAGCTCAACCTCAATCTTGACCCCTTTGCTGAGTTCCAAGTCCATTGCTTTCTTGACATCTCCTTTTAGATATCACCCAGGTGATTCATGTCCAATGTGTCCCAAATAAGGTCTGGTTCTCCTGCTATCCCCTTTTCCCTCTCTGCCTCTTCTCCAGGGCACCCTGTCCCAGTAAATGACATCAAGATTCCTTCCTCCCCCAACCCCACCTACCCCACCTACTCCATGACCAAGTCCGACCTATTCTGCCCTCTGAAAAACCTCATTGTCATTTCCACTGCTGTCACCCTGGATTAAGCTACCATCCCCTGTTGCTGGGATCATGATCACAGCCTTACTTGGGCTGTCTGCGTTCATACATGCACTGCTGTTCATTCTCCACCTCAGTAACCAGGTGATAAACATGCCTAGGCTTTAAGACTCTGATGACTACCTACGCTTGTTGGAATCAAGTTCTAAGCACTTGTTATATTCTGCAAGGCTCAGTATATGCTGGTTCTTGTGTTCCTCTCCAGGCTCACTCTCCCCCAACCACACTGATCTTCCTGTTTACCTAGCATGCCGACCTCTTTCCTCCCAGTGCTGTTCCTGTCCAGCTGCCCCCACTCTGCTAAGCTCTTCCTCATCCCACCTAGCAGCCTCCTGCTCTCTCTTCAAGTCTCAGTTTCAGCATTCTTCCCCAAGGAAGCCTTCTCTGAGTCCCTGCCCTCGGCCAGAGCCCATGTTATGGGTATTGCCAGCCCCATCTCCTTGTGGTGACTCCCATCTCACCTGTATTTGTGGCTCATTGTCCATCTTCTCAGCTGGCTCTTAACCCCCATGAGACCAGCCAACCCTGTCACCTCTGTAGTCCCAGAGCCTAGCACAGTTCCTAACACAGAGTAGATCCTCAAAAGGTATTTTTTAGTTAATCAAGTGCTCCCACCTGTGTTATTTGTAATGAGAAAGAGAAATCATTTCATAACTTGTTTAAGATTTCTTTCTGTCAGCTTCCTGGCACCTGCCAAATAGAAAGGTTGGAGGCATAAATGTCACCTCGAAGAGACAAAAAAAAATGCCACCTACCCTCCAGACAGACTCTCTGTACGGGCCGTCTGAAAAACATACACTATTCATTGGCTAAAGGGCACTTTTATTAGATAACCAACACTAATCTTTCTTTGCCAATTAGAATTCTCCTGAACCTTAAGGTTAGTGAAAGAAACAAAAGCATAAAAGAAACTTTTTCTTTTATCAGGCAGGATTAAGGATGTCTGGGCACTCAATATTTCTGCACAATACACATACATCTGCTTTGTGTACATGCATGCTTGTGTATGCATATGTGTGTGTGACTCATACATTTAAAGCACCTCTCTTGTCTAAGCACACATTTCTTTTTCCAAATTGGCCCTCATGTCATATATAAGAACAAAGAAAGAAGTTAAATGGACAGGCTCCAACCATCGCCTAAAGAA